GGTACCTCACTGCTCTTAGAAGGAGAATGAGGCCCTGGGGGAAGCCACGAAGCTTAAGAAGCGCTAAATGCAATAAGCTGGAGCAGGCAGCCTGTAAAAGGGAAATGAAAGGAAGCCAGGATAGAGCCATCAGCAGAAGAATCCAGGCTGCTTCAATGAGTCGGAGCTCATTTATCGGTTTGCGGGGAACACAGCTTTGCTCAGCGGACACAGAGGGGGGCTCCAGGAGGCTGGGCGGGGCCCGAGGGCTGTGGGCAGACCCCGTGGACCCATCCTCCACGTGGCTGCAGGTCCCCACTGGCTCGCAGGAGGTACTTACTGCCTGGCATCCATTCAGAAAGTCCCGGTTTAGACCCCCCGGGGCGGCCAGGCCACTGACCAAGTTCAGAATGTTGTGCAGAGAGCTCTGTTGGCTTATTTGTGCGTGGATACTTTTATCCTAATTAAGCCACTTGAAACTTTTGAAGTTCATGAGTCATTTGCTTCAAATATCTTTAAATCAAGGCCGGATTCATTTCCCTGGTAGCAAACACCCAGCAAGTTAATTAAAAGGGGCTCAGCATTTAAAGCACCATCTTGGCTTGGAACCCAGCAGGAGGGAGCCTGCTCTCCCTCCCTGCCCAACCCCGGCGCTTGAAAAACCGTTTCGTCATCACGAGACCTGCTCCCGAGGCTGTTCCACTGTCTAGGTCAGGTGACCATCAGGGCGAGAGGAGATGACACCAGCCCATCGCTCATGCTCACAGAGGGACACAGCTGAAGGACACTGAAGGCCTCCCAGTGACAAGGACAATGCAGCTTAGAAATCGTCCTTGGCAACATACGAGTGAATTCCGATGTAGAAACCGCCGGGCAGGACTGGGAGGACGTCGGAGCCACTGCATCCTTGAGCTGCTCCGTGTCACCCATGCTTGAGAATCTTCAAGGGAGCAGACCCTCAGTGACAGTGGAGACCTGCGGGGCTTCGTGGCCCTGCCGGGTATGACCAGGGGCAGCTGAGTTAAGTGCCAGAAGTGGCTGAGCAGGCAGGACAGTCTCCAGGCCCAGGTGCCAGCAGGCAGGTCCGAACATGGGGGCCCGGAGAGCGTTCCGGAACATCCGCCGCGGGCCAACGCCCACGGCCGGGAGCTCCTGCTGTGGCAAAGGCAGGGACGGAAGTCAGCTGGCTCGGACTCCCCACCGCTCCCTTTACGAGTTCCGAGATGAAAGCCCAGGAAATGACTTCCTGTTTTCTCCAGGGGGACTGTGTGATTCCAGACTCAGAACATGACCGACAAGGGTGTTGTCACAGGAGGAAGGTGCGCCACTCTGGGGAGCCCTCTGCCCTTGACCTACAGTGAACTTCTACTCCGTCCGTCGCTCACCCTCTGCCAGCACCGCGTGAGGCCAGAGCTCAGCGCCTCCGAGAGCCTGAGCTGCGTGACCTTCCAACCCAAGCCGGTCCTCACTGGTGCCTTCTCTAATCTACCCCTGCAGGGAGCCCCCAGGCCAGGGCGAGGACCTGGAACCTCATCAGATGACTCCACAATGGAGCAGCCAACAGAGAGCTGGCTGGAGGCTCCAAATCATCACAAACGACGGTCGTTATCATCACCACCATCATCATCACCATTGGCATCGTCATCCCCATGATCATAATTACCAACACCACCATCATTGTATCTGGCATCAGCATAATCACCATCTCCATCACCACCATCATCTCCATCATCACCTTCCCCATCATCATCCCTGTCATCTTCATCATCTCCATCATCACCATCTCCATCATCTCCATCATTACTACAGTCATAATTACCAGCATCACCACCAGCATCACCATCTCCATCACCACCACCATCTTCATCACCGGTGTCACCTGCACCATCACCACTGTCATCTTAACAGCAGCAAATGTGCACTGAGCAGCTGTGCAGGTCAAGCACTGAGCACCAGGCACAGATGTCTTGCTTAACGTTTGCGACATTGTGAGACGGTTGACTCTGTCACTTGCAATGAGGCACAGAGAGGACAAGCAGGTAGCCCCCGTTGACACAGGTCATGCCAGATGGTGCCCGGAGTGTGAAGGCAGGTGGCGGCCCTTTTAGCCACCACACTGGGGGAGATTCCCCCCACCTCACTTACGGGGCAGTCGGCAAGGGGGCCCCGACCATTCCAATCGGTGTTCCAGGTAATGCTGGCTCTGGAGGGGTCGCAGAGGGCCCCAGATCACCAGCCCCTGCCCTTCCTATGCCCACCCGCACCTGCGCTATGGACAGACAATGAAACATAACCTGCCCCTCCCCGGCATTTCTCTACAGAAACAAAAACAAAGTTCACGACACCCAGAGTCTGACTCCAAACGCTGGTCTTCGGACAGCAGACCTGACTTCACGAATTCAGCATTTAAATCCCTGTCTTGGCTTGGAGCACAGCAGGGGGTGGACACCCTCCTCTCCCTCCCATCGCTCCCGGAAACCCGAATTCCAGACTTTGGGGAGCGTCTGGCAGTGAGCGAGCATAGACGGGTGTGCGGAGATGACGAGACTCCCGCGTCCCTGGCAGCCCGGTCGCCCTTGACGACGGCAGTGCTCCCCTCTGAGTCACGCCTGCTGGGTATAAAAACAACAGGCGTGCTGGCGGTTCTTAGGTGCCAGGAGCAGCACTACTTCGCATTTGGTTCGCTCACGGAGCCCTCACAGCTGGCACTTAGGAGAGGCGTTTCTTCAGTGTCACTGAGAAGAAAGTGGAGCAGACAGAGATGAACCTCCTCAGGGTCACGCAGCTCCACACGGTGGAGCCCGGAGTCCACATGCGTGTGGACTGACCACACACACACAGCCCTGCGATCCCTGAGACGCCCCCCCCCACCTCAAATTCTGCCAAAGTTGTGTGAGTAGCAGTCACGCTCCACGAAGAGTGAGGGGCCCAGAGCCACGTGGCCCAAAGGCCACAGAGATGCCCAGGGTGCCTGCACGGGCGCTCTGTGTCCCGGGGGCTTGCGTCCCCCATGTGAGACCAGCTGGCCTTCCGTGGCTCACCAGGGGGCGGAATCGTCCCAGCATTTCCTGCCCTTCCTCACCTCGGCCTGGAAGCTGGCCGTCCCGTCTGGGCCCCCGGCATGGCTTCCCAGAATTAACACCTCTCTGCGTTAGAACACACATATTTACCCCCCTTTACATCTGTTTTGCTAAACAAATTAATCTAGCACCAGATTATATTATGAAGAACCACAACTCTTTTCCAAGATAAGCATCTGTTGAGTTGGATTAGAGGCGTCCAATGTACCGAGAATCAATTTGCGAAGCTTATGACGCTGTCCCCGGCGTTTAACGTCGTAGGGACGAATGTAATTTGGAATAAATGGTGCCTGTTTTCTCATCCGTGTCTCCTCCGTAAGTGACGCGTGCAGAGGTGGCTACAGCAACTGAAGGCAGCGCTCCATTCCAGTATCGCCACGGCTCAGGGGTTGGCTGAGGCAGGGACAACCGCCTGGTGACCTGTCCTCGGGCCCCTGGGGCCGTGGCTTTCAGACGGGAGTCGGGCTGTGCTCAGCCCCAAAGACTCACCCAACTCCCATGGCGCACTCCCGTGGCGCACTCCCGTGGCCCAGCTCCCGTGGCTCGCTCCAGTTCCCTGTCGCAGAGCCGGGCTCACTTTCATTGATGTGCTGCTCTCTAGGGCAGAGGCGCCCAGGAGGAGAGCCACACTCCTCCTGCCCTGGTGAGAGGAGAAAGTAGGCCACCGGACCAAGCCTCCCCCTCCAAGAAACCGGTGTAACTCCCGGCCACGCCTGCCTGCCAGCCCGGACGTGGAGACCCAGCCAGTGGTCCAGGCAGAGGGAACAGCACTACAGGCGGGCCCTGAGTGGCCATCCTCTCCTTCTCCTGGGATGTGACGAGGCCCATCCAGGGCCCGCAGAGCCCAAATCTCTGGATGGGCAGAAGGGGGCCGGGGGTGGCAGAGGCTGCCTGGTGCCCCCAGCCCTGGGGGGCTGCTGCCCTGGAAATGGCATCACTCCCCACTCCCCAGTGCCCGTCCTCCGTCAGCAAGTAGGGCTGCTTCTCCGGGGTGTGCTCGCCCGGATCCCACCTGCGAGCTAGAGCCACGACCCGCTCAGAGACAAAGGAAGCTGGGGGCAGGTGGGCACCCAGAGGCCCCCTGCTCCGGGCTCTCCTCGGCCCCTCATGGTGTGGGGTGCAGGCTGGGGGCCGTGGGGGCAGAGGCAGGCCCTGGCCTGGGGGGCGGTTTACGAGCCCCTCCTCCTGAAGCAGGGGGAGGGCGCGGTGCAGGCGGAGAAGGAAAACCGAATGACGTTGCAGGAGACGGTCCAGAGCCGAGGAGTGGACATGCCCACACGCAGCTAAGCGACCGAGGCAGGAGGACGGGAGCCGTTCGTCCTGACCTCCCTCCCCTGAACCCCCGCGGAAACGACACCCCCAGGCCCGCATCTCCCCGGGAGGCCCCAGCGAGGAGCACAGGGGCCCCTCCTTCCCGGCAGCCTCGGCCTCCCCATCTGTCTGAAGTGATTACTGCCCCGGGGAGTGGCCGCCTGCAGAGCCACACTCCTGAGGGCCCCTGAAGACCCCACACACCCCTGATGACACTGGCTGTGCCCACATCTGTCCCCGCCCTGGCCCAGGACATGGAGGCCAGCATTCTGGACAACGGAGCTCCACATCGGCCGGGCTCCGTAGCCCCCACACCGCAGGGTGGGCACAGCACCCCTCTCCAGGCCTTGCCCATCTGCCAGCTGCAGAAGCCTGGCTCTGCCTCCTGGGGCTCGGCCCACACCTGCCGGGCACACTCATGTGCCAGCTCACCGTGAGACGCACAGTGCCTGCTCCTCCTGGAGGCCCCACGCCCGACTCCTGGGCCTTCATCTGGTTCAGGTCCTACCACTGGGAAGCACAGTGCCACCGAGAAGCATCGCCCAGGCAAAGCTTAGCGTCCGTCCCCAGCCAGGCCCCCAGGAAACCCCTCTGCCGGAGCGAAGCCCAGACAGAAAGGAGGGCACGTACCTGAGGTCTCTCCCGGGATCCGTGGGGGCTTTGGGTCTGTGCCGCGGTCTTTGCTGGGGCTGGTGGAAGGCTGCATTGTGCTAACCCCGCCCGGGACCCTGTTCCCGGGGGCCAGGGGCGCGGTAACCCCCTTAGTCTGCAGCGTCACAGAGGTGGCTGTGGTGGCCGTGGTGGTGGTGGCCACGGTTGTCTTCCAAGTTTGGAAGCTGGAGACGGTGGTGGGGCCGTGGGGGAAGGTGTTGGACTCCAGGACCTCCTCCTCGCCCGTGGGCCCCCAGGCGATGAACTCGGTCTCCGTGGTGGGTCTGCCGCCTCGGAAGTCAAAGCTGTTGAAACCAGCCGCCTGCAGCTGCCTCTTCCCCCGCCTCAGGAGGGCCTGCTGGTCCGTGGGGGCCCCGCCGCCCACCGCGGGGGAGGAGGAGGAGGAGGAGGCGCCCAGGGAAGGGCTGGGTTTGGCGGCAGCCGGGGGCTTGGTGAGCCCCCCTTTGGGCACCAGGGCGGCCACCTGGTCCCGAGGTCTGTGTGCCCGTTTGGCACGAGGACTCTGCATCTGCCCGTGGCTGCGCTCCACGCGGGCCGGGCGCGGGCTCCACAGGGGCGCAGGGATCCGGGCCGGCTGTCCGCTCTTGAAACTCCACAAGCGGGGCGGCCGGTGCGAGGGCCGAGGCAGCAGTCGGAGCTCGGGGCTGGGGCCCAGGGCCTCACAGGCGGGCAGGTCGACGGCGAGCTGACACATGGCTATGAGTATCCAAGCCTGGCTTCCCAGGGAGCGGCCCGGCCAGCGGATGGACAGGGAGCTGTGCGGGAGAGACAGAGGCGCATCAGTCAGCGTGGGGTCTGCGGGGCCTGCGGGGGCGCCGCTCCCTGCCCCGCCCCCTGCAGAGGACCTGCTCTTCTCGATGACAGGCGCTCATCCCAACTTCAAAAGGGAAACCAACACCCTTCGTTAGCTGACTTCAAAGGCCCGCCCGTCCCATGATCTATTAATCAGCTTCTAAAAGAACCGTCCTGACCACACATGTCCCGAGAGCTGGCATGGGCGTGCAGTCACGTGTCTCATCTCTCCAAGGAGCCCGCAACACGTGGGGTGCGCCCATAACCCTGCCCACCGCACAGGTGGAAACTGAGCCCCAGGCCCCCAGCTGTTGGCCCACAAGCCCACCTCCCAGACCCCACTTTGCTAAAAACTCCCAGAATAAAACAGGCAGCAAGGACATGGAGGGCAGGCAGGGCAGGGCCATCGAGACCGAGGAGTCCCCCGGGGTCACAGTGGTCACCCACCCATGGCAGGCAACCCTCAGCCCACAGCCACCTCTGCTGAGTTCCGGAGGGACAGGTGTCCACTCTCAGTGCGGCTGGACCACTGGGCTGTGCGGGGTGGGGGGGGGGCCAAAAGCCAGCAGGCCCCGCCCCTGCCCCATGCTGTGTGCCTTGCAAACCCCCTCCGCTTCTGCCTCTTTGTATCCATCGAATATGCATGTTTCAAAGCAGCTGTAACCTCAAACGCCTTCCTGGGGAACCTGCCCTGTTAGGGCCTCCTCCTCGGGGACCTTGCCCTGCTGTGGGTCCACAGAGAGTTCACGGGCACGCCAGCTCTGGCCCGGCATGCCACCTGTGGGCACTTATGCTTCCCTGTCCACCTGCCTGCAAGGGGCTGGAAACCCTACCACCCGCCCCTCACCTCCCTGGGGGCTGGAGAAAGGTGGGTGGTGGCGGGCCAGCTCTCTCAGGAACACGAGCTTCCAGGTGTGCTCAGGGACTGCCACGTGACACCAGAGCTTGGGGACAGCCACGTGGAAGGGGGTGGGGACCCAGCCCACGCAGCCTCTCCCACCAGCTCCGGTGACTGAGAACCGGCTCCAGGTGCCATTCAGTCAGCGCTCGTCACCAAGGACACCCCGGGGGCTGACGGGAACCCGGCACTTCGACGGCTGTGGCGGGTAGGGGTAGGCAAGGGCTCCGCGTGTTCGGGGCCCCCCCACAGAGCCTCTCAGAGCCGCCTGAGCAAGGGCTCCAGGCTTTCCTTCACTGGGGGTGCAGCTTTAAAGGGAAATCCACCGGGGCTGAGTGTGAGTCACTGAGTGAGAGTGTGCACGGGAGTGTGAATGCAGAGAGTATGGTCAGGGCGAGTCCGTGTGCAGCTGGGCGTGTGCCGCGTCCGTGTGTGAATGCACCTGCGTGTCCGTGAGATGAGGGTGTCCGTGAGTGTGTTTGGGAGTGTGCATCTGTGTGCAAAGGCAGCCATGTGTGTGTCAGCACATGCGTGAGTGCATCGAGGACTGTACATGTGAGAGTGGCTGTGCGTGTGTCCCCTCCGCACCCCACGCCGACCCCCCTGGGGGCGGACCTGGTGTCTACACGTCATCACACGCTCAAAGGAATGAACTGCATTCAGGAGCGAGAATTAGCAGAAAGGACTGGTCCCCAAACAATAAAGCCCGGTTTTCTATCCGGATGAAAGTGCTTTGCTGCAGGCATCAGGAACTGCTCATTAGGCTAATGGCCCCGCACGGGGCTCTGCCGGGACCCAGCTTCCCGGCACAGCCGGCCAAGGCCACGGTCACCGCGTGCAGGAATCAGGTCACCGTGAGATCCCCCAGGCACACACTCAGGGCAGCTCCGTGTCTGCAGGGAGGTCGACGGCTGAGGGCCTCTGGCTCTCCCAGCATCTGCGTACCTGGGGGGACCGATCCTCAGAGGGGCGGTGCTGCTTCGAGCCGGGGTGCTGCCTCAGCCCAGAGGGCACCCCCGTTGTGGCAGGCCCAGGCCTCCTCGTTCCCCCACACCCCCCACGGGGCCCCCGAGTGAGAGCAGCGGCCCACCAGCCCGCCAGCCGGCGCCCACAGTGGTCGGGGAAACTTCCCCACAGGAGCAGCAGCACCTGGGCCTGGGCCTGGGCTTCAGAACTTCACACACAGGACCTTTCCTTTGGTTTTCACCAATCAGGAGCCGCCTTTGGTTGCCATAGAAACCCCCTCATTTCCACAGCACCCAGCCCTTGTGCAGAAAAATCCACCAACTGCAAGGGCTGGAGGCCCGGGTTGTCTTCCTCTTTTACAGGTTGGCGGCCCTGCTCAGACGGGCGAGTCAGGAGGGCAGGTGAGCAGGCCCGGACAGAGGCGGCACCCCTCCCCCAGCAGCCAGCCCGCCGGGCCCGGGCCCCTCCCACAGTGAGGTCGGGAGCCCCGCTGCCCCCTGCAGGGACCGCCACTGGCCTCTTTCCGGGGGCCAAGGCCCCACACTCTCTGCCCTGTGGCCAGGCCCTGTGGCCTGCGTTTGCAAGCTGGACCTTCCTGGTCCTGAGACTCAGGAGGGAGGGCTTCCTGGGCTGAGGCTGCCTTGTGACCACGGGCTTGGGTGAGGGGCCAGTGACCTCTGCCCTCTGGCGTCCTGCCAGGCCCTCTGCCTCGCTCTTCTCTCTGACCCCACTCGGCACGGTGCTGGGAGGCCCCAGTCCACACCCATTTCACCACGAAGAGGTTCTTCATCCATCCGGCAAGAGGGCAGAGGAACTCAGGGCCTCTCAGAGGTCCCACAGCTGCAGCTGTGACAGCGACGCCACTAACCACCAGGGCGGGCGAGCGATCCTCCGAATGGGCCGGGCCCCCCGAACTCTGGGCACACGCGGACCCCTTAGGAGCACGCCCCCACTTCATACCCACGGGACGGCTGCAGATGCAAAGAGGAGCCCTTCCACGTGGCAGGGGGGCGGGGACCTGGGAACTCCCACACGTGGACACGGAACGTCACAGCTGCTCCTGACAGTCAGTCGGCGGCTCCTCAGGGACTCAATGACCAGCTGGCCCAGTGACTCCGCTCTGGGGTGTCGGCACAGGCCCACGCAGAAGCGCGTCTCTGAGGACCACAGCCGCATGCCACCTACTGGGAGACATGGGAAGGACCCCGGCGCCCACCAGCTGCCGTGCGGATAGAGAAGGGCCCGTCCCGGCCGTGGGAGGGGGGCCGACACCTGGAAAACAGCACGTGAGGGGACCCGAGCCGGTCACAGCAGGCCCCATGCCCCATGATCCCACGGTCACAAAATGTCCAAAGTTGGTCAACCCACGGAGACAGGAAGTGGATCAGAGGTGGCCAAGGGCTGGGAGCGGGAGGGAACCAGGGCTGTCTTTGGGGTGATAGATTGTTCTGGAATTGGAAGTGGGGATGGCTGCCCAACCTTTTAACACATAAAACCACGGCAGGGACGTATTTAAGAGGCGAGTTTCGGGGTATGTAATACCGCAAGAAGTGGGTGTGTGCGAAGGTCGTGGGGAGGCCGGCCTGGGGGGCATCGCAAAGGACACCCAGGCCCACCCCAGCCCCTCGGAGCCGTGGCGCTCTGGGTGGGCCATTCACTCAGACTTCGGATTCGTCCCCACATAGCCCGCTCCCCGGGTCCCCACGGAGAGGGGCAGGCCTCCGTGGCCCCCGCTTGGCAGGGTCCCGGCCCGCACTCGGAAGCGAAGAACAAGCAGCCCGGCACTCCGCTCCCACCGACGGTGTCCGGGTGGAGGGCCATCGCTCCGTCTCACCTTATTTTCCAGTCTGTCGCTTTCCCACACCTCCCCTTTGGAATTTTTACTGAAATCTTATTTTTCCCCAAGAACAGTTTAATAAGATTCAGTGAACTGAGATTCAATTTAATGCCTTCTGTGTATTTTCCTCACAAAAAAAACACTATCAATGAGGGCAGACAAAGACCCCTCTTCCCCCCAAGGTGGCACTCCTCCCCCACCCAGGGGACAGCCGTGTCCAGGTGCCGGGGCCCCGGGACGGGAGAGCCCTGGCTGGGCCGGAGCTCACGCAGGGGTCTGGGTTCTGCAACCCGGAGTCTCCAGGATGACCCGGGGCCTCAGAGGTGTCCCGAGGTGGCCAGTTCACCGCAGCCCTGCCAGGGCAGTGACAAGCACCCCGCGTACAACCCCAGCATCAGACAACTGTGGAGCACCTGTGTCCCACATGTCTGCTCTTGGGACAAACAAGCCACCCCGGGAAGACTCTGTGTGGTGGAGAAGCTGCCCTGGTCATGGGCGAGCTGCTTTCACTCTGCTGGCCCGGGTTTCCATCCTTCCCACCGGACAGCGGCGGCAGGCGGGCCCCGAGGCCTCCGGCCTTTTCAGATGGTGCACGCCTCTGACACTAATGTCACAGGGGTCTCTCAGTCGTGCCCAGAGGGACGTGACTTCAGGGAGCAGGTGGCAGAAACAGCGATGCTTGCCCGGCACATGCCCGGCTCCTGTGATCCATGCCCCTTCGTGGGCGCCCTTCCCCCACAGACGGGGACGTCCCTTCACCTGGGGCTCAGGGACCTGGGAGCCCCGCTGCATCTGCCAGCACCCCCGGAGCGTGACCTGGGTCCGGGGGCTTCCTGTCCCCCCTTCCGCTGGTTCCTTTGCCTAAATAAACTTGCCATGTTCAGACTTCGGATCTGCAGAGACCGTAGCAGAGCAGAGCGGCCGTGCTGGCCTCCCGGCATCCCGGGAGTGACCCCCGTCCCCACCACGCAGGAATTCCGCCGCCTTGTCTGTGATAAAGCTCCTCGCTGCACCTGATCGCACCGGCTTCACCTCGCCCTCCGGGACCCCACTCCGGTGACCTGGACATCTCCTGGTCACGTCCCCTTCACCCCTCTTGCAGTGTCCAACAGATAGAACCCTCCAGAACAATGAGACGTCTCCAGCTACTGCTCTTCCCTGGAACGAGGGTCCTCTCACACCCACAAGAGTGGGTCTCACTCCTGGGCCTGAGCCCAGGAGGGACCAAAGCCCAAGCGAGCCAGGCACCTGCGAGGGGAGAGGACGCTCCGGCTGTAACGTGGCCGCCCCCATGGCCGGGTCACCACAGGGGTGTGTGGGCAGAGCCAGAGCACATCCCAAATGCGTGTCCACTTCACTGCCCCTCGGGCTTCACTAGCCTGCAGGAGTCTCAGGGTGTCCGGGCTGGACGGAACAGCCGTCCGGTCCAGCCCACCCCTGGGACTTGCGGTCTCCAGGCTGAGGACCAGGGGATGGATAATACTAGACCTGCGGGACCAGGAACGTATGAGGAAAAGAAGAGCAAAAACAAGACCTTCCTAAGCCGTAACGGGGGTGGCTCCACCCCCAGGACAATCCAGCCTGTGGACCCCGCACTGGGCCTGGCGTGCTCTCGCCCATGCCCCCTCCCCACCTTGCACAGAGGTCAGGGCCCTGTGGTCCAGAGCAGGCAGAGGACAATGACCCCAAGTCTCAGTGAGGCCTCACCACCCACACGGGGCGTTTAGACCCCTGCGCTCCTTGCCTGGGCCGCTTATGCCTGAGGGGCCACAGAGCAATGTCGAGACACTTTCAACTATGGAGAGCCAGGGAAGGGGGCGCGGCTGCTGGCCAGGGACCCTGCAGGACATCCCCAGGGCACAGGACGGCCCCCACCATGACTTCCCCACACCCCAACGTCCCCCGGGCTGCGCTCCGGAGGCCCTCGTGCAGATGTAGGATCTGTGCCCCACCCCCAGGGCCTGGGGGGGTGGGAACTACCCCCTTCACCCCTAAGAAAAAGAGGCTCAGAGAAGCCACACAGTGGGGTGGTGGCCCCGGGCTCAGAACAGCTGCCTGCCTTCCAGTCCCGGCTCCGTGTGACCTCCCTGAGCCTCAGCTTCCCCACCTGCAAAATGGGGTCAACACGGGCACCCACACCTCGGGGTGTCACGGGGACTCCGTGGTGACACTGCAGCCCCCTGCAGCGCTCACAGGCAGCCCCGCGGCCCCTCCACTCTGCTCACCAGGCCCATCTCCTTCCCCCAGGAGCTTGGAGTCTGCAGGGCCTGAGGAGGCTGCTCCACAGGCGTCTCAGGTGCTGGGAGGGACCGGCAACGCGCTGGTGCCAGCGTCTGGTTGCCTGGGCAACGGGCCCCAGCAAGTATTCTGGAGGAGTGAGGCGCTGACAAGTGGAGGGTGGGCAGCCCGTGGGCAGGAATGTTTTCTCCGCGGGGGGTGGGGCGTCGGCCCAGCCTCCTGTGTCTGACGCTACCACACCTCCTGCGCCGCCCGGGTCGCCTGAGACAGGCCCCGCGCCCTGTGGCAGCCCTTCCACGGGCCATCTGGGACCCACGACGTGCCCTCAGCCCGGCTACTGGCCCTCCGATGTCATGTCTGTGCCCTCTCTGGGCAGTGCCCAAGGTGTGACCGCAGCTGCCTCATGGCCGGTTAGCCTCCTTGGATTGGCCAGCCACACCTGGGCCACACCTCCGATGCCTCTTCTGCACGTGGGGACAAAAGTCTGAGATGGATCTCCAGCAGGAGCTGGCCCATCCCGGGGCCACACCCTGGCCCTTCTCCACAGCCCCCAGGGCCAAGGAGCAGACTTGGGGAAGCTCGGCATGAACAAGGCCTGGACGAAACTCCTGCCGTCCAGGACCCTCCCCCGACCACAGTCACCCGGCAGACACTAGAGGGGCCTGGAAAGGCAGCGTCGGTTTGGCAGCCCCGTGGAGACTCCGCCTGGGCCTCACGTGAGAATGGCCAGGTGCCAGAGCAGGTGGTGAGATGCAGGCCCCACCTCGGAGCACTGCCTGGCCCCACTGGCGCCGGGCCCGGCAGGAACTGGTTCGGAAGCTCCCGCAGGTTGAGAGCGGAGGGACCCCGCCTATTGCTCACCAAGACCTGATTTGATCCGAGTCTATGTCTGCTTTTGTTTTTTTTTTTTTTTAAGATTTTATTTATTTATGTGTAGAGAGAGGGGAAAGGAGGGAGAAAGAAGGAGAGAAGTATCAATGTGTGGTTGCCTCTCAAGCGCCCCCTACCGGAGACCTGGCTCACAACCCAGGCATGCGCCCTGACTGGGAATTGAACTGGCAACCCTTCGGTTTGAAGGCTGGCACTCAGTCCGCTGAGCCACACCAGCCAGGGTTCTACACCTGTTTTTAACCAGGGACAAAGGATGTGGGCAGTGGGGAGGGAAGGGGTCCTGTAGGCAGACATGGTGCCCGTGGACCCTTGAGGACAGAGATGCTGGGCTTGTATGAGCTCGGCCACCACGGTGGCAGCTCCTTGCAGACCTCGGTTGTGCTCAGCCAGGGCTGGCCGGCAGAGAAGATGCTCACGAGGAAGCCCCCTGCAGTCATCTGAGACGGCCAGAGCCACCGCGGGAGTGTGAGTTCGTGGGAAAGCAGGCGGTGGGAACACACGTGCCGCCCAGGTGGGGGGAGTGGTGAACACGGTCCCCGTGCTGGTGGCACATCGGGAGCTCCACCCGAGTTTCCCACGCGCCGTACCATGCTGTTTGCACGGCTCCCCTCCGAGAGCGGCGGCTGTCACTCACACCGAGCAGGAGAAGGAAAAGCACAAAAATAGCAGCTGTGCTCTGCTCTGGAGAGAGGTCTCAAAAGTACCACCGGAGCTGGCGGAGCTGGCGGAGGTGGGGCTGCGCCACAGGAAGAAACAGCCTCCGGGAGGCGGCACCACCCCCGCCCCCGGGTGTCCATCGGGTGCTGGCGCTGTCCCGCCACCCCCTGACCCCCCGACACTGAGAGGTGCGTGTTCCTCCTGGGGAACGTTCACAGTGCCGTGGACTCGGGTCCCCCCTGGTCAGATGTGGCCCATTATGGACCGTCTCATGCCTGAAGGGTGGACTTGGAGGATGAGTGTTGCCAGCCTCCAAAGCACCCACTGAAGTCCCTGGATCCTCACGGGAAATGTTTATGTTGATTTTGCTGCTATTGTTGTGTTAGTACTTATGAAACTTGGTCCGAGCGCCAGGCTATGTAAGCCAGCTGAGAAGGGTGGAGAGCGCCGAGAGGCAGGGCTGCCTCTGGGAATGACAAGCAGGGCCGCAAGGGCTCTGCCGGTGGCCAGGTTGGCAGAGACAGTGGGGGTGACCGGGGTGGAGGGGGAGGGCGAGCTGGCCAAGAACCCCGGGGCCATCCACCAGGAAAAGCCGTTCCTTCCTGGGGGTGACTGCTCAGAGGGTCTCGGTGTGGCTGAAGCACCGTGGACCTTCATGCACCAGAAGGTAAACTGAGGCAGGACAAACCGTCTGCGTGAGTGCTCAGAGTGGGCGCCATGGAGGAGGAGCAATGACGGAGGGGTGTGGCAGACACACTGGTGTTGGTCCGGGGGCACCATGCAGATGAAGGACACCTGGCCGCTGGGTGTGAGCGGAGGGAAGGGGACCTCGACGGCCCTCCGAGCCTGTGACGGGCAGATCTCAGGTCTCAGGAGGAGGCAGGGGCAGGCCCAGCCTAGCACAGTCAGGAGGACCCAGGGCACCCGGGGACACGGAGGCCTCCCTGCCCAGAACATGTCACTGTCCTCGGTCCTTGGTTCCTGAGACTGAACAAGGCTGGGACTAAAGGAGGCCTTTGCAGGGGACCCAGGGCCTCACTCAGGGGCCAGCATGTGGCGCATGGTGCTGAGAGTAAGCGCAGTGGGTGGGGAGGGTGGGGCCCCCAAAGCCCCCCGTTCACAGACAGGGAGAAGAAAGTGGGGCTCTGATGCGAGCAGCCATTGCCAGAAGCCCATGAGATCATCCTCGCAAACCCCA